AGCGCCTTCTCCCCTGAGTCAGAAGGGACCTCTGGAGGTGTCCACTACCATCATCTTCTCTGAGCAGTGATAGCTTTACAGGTAGATGACATTAGCTCTCAGCATCCCCCCCTCCACGCTGCCTTTAACATCTCCCTTCCTTCTCTCAGCCACCCTTGTCCCCTGCAAGCAGTGCCCCCAGCCCTGCTGCGCTGTGCAGAGGAGCTGCTCCTGGGCAGAGCTTTCTTTCTGCAGTGCTGCCTGCTTGCCAGGAGCTCCCCTTGGGCCCAGGAGCCCGGCCCAGCTTAGCAGCATAGGGAGCTCTTGACTCGAGGGAACTCCAGGGAAATGATTTTGAATCAGGCTGAAGCAATCCCTGATGTTCCCTCTCTGAGCTGGGGAGAGACACTTACTTCCAGCAGTGTCATTTCTCCTACTGGGAGAAGATTCATCAAAGAATCACCTTGTCTTCTTCCACTTTTAGGCCGGACACCCAGAATGTGACTGGCAGGGATCACATTTTCCCAAGCTGAGGGAAGTGATCACATGGAGTCAACTGATGCATCTCATTCTGTGTTTGATGTCCTAGGCCTGTAATGGGGCCCAGAACCTTCCTTATCAGCCACAAACCCACACAATTTCGGATTTCTTTCACCTCTGCTCAGATATGTAAAAAATAATATAGGCTAAACTCCCACAGTAATTGCAGGAGATAGAGAAGAGCAGTGTGTTGTTTAAATGTAAACACCATTTGACATTTGAGGTGCACAAAGATGTCTGTCTTAGCAGTAATCCTTTAAGTTAGGACTTCAGAGACTGGGAATGTAGGTATTAGAGTTTTGTCAGTGCAGACTGCCTAAAAATGTGGCCTCCCTTTGTGCCTTGTCACTCACCTGGGAGCTGTCCCTTGTCATTTAGCTAAATAATATAAACCTCCCCTTTAACATATCCATCTCCTCCCCAAAATTGGGAGTAGATTAATGGAGAAGTGGTAATTTAGAGACAGTACTTTCTAAAAGGTGTTTGAGAGCTTAGGCACATGAGTGGACTGCCCTACATCTAGTAAATTAGGAAGCTCTATCAATTGCCTTGAGGGTAGAGGGGCCTTACAGAGACATCTTGATAGATCAGAATGTTGGTCAGTCGCTACAATATAAAATTCAATAAGAACTAATGCCAGATTCTGTACATCAGACCATGTATTCCTGAATGTACATATAGACTGAGGGACAAGTGGATGGAGCATAACTCTGAAAAAAAGGGATCTGGGGGCTGTGGTTCATGGTAAGCTCAGGATAAGTTAACAATGTTCCCTGCAGGGACCATGGTGGAGTTGATCCTGCGGGAGGGCAGCATAGCTCTTCAGGAGAGCCATCTTTGGCCCCTTCAATATCTGCTTGGAAGAGTCCTTTGGAGTAAGGCCCTGTATTGAAGAACAGTCCAAGAAAGGTGGTTAATATTCCATGACCATGCCCTCCAACATCAAGGGCAGTCCAACCCAAGAAAAACAAAGTCAGGTAAAAACGGCAAGAGGCCTGCATGGATGAACCAGAAGCTTCTCACCAAACTCCAGCGCAGAAAAGAAGCTTAGAGAAGGTGGAAACAAGAACAGATACCCTGAGAGGAATACAAAGGCCTTGTCTGAGCATGTAAGGAAGAATATCGGAAAACTAAAGCCCAACTCCAGTGGAATTAGGACAAGGATGTCTAAGGCAGTAAAAAGAGCTTCTAGAATAACACAGGTGACAAAAGAAAGGTTCTGGAATATGAGGACCCACTGCTGAATGAGGCCCAGGATCTGTTGATATAGGACAGGGAAAAGACAAGAGGTGTTGAATTCCTTTTTCACGTCAGTCAGTACTGGCAAGACTGCCCTTCAAGAATCCCTAGTCACGAAGAATGGGGAGAGTCTGGAAGGAAGATGTACACTTGGTGGGAGTGGATCAGGTCAGGGCATACTTGACCAAATGGGATACACATATCTATGGGACCTGACGGGATTCACCCATGACAGCAGAGAGAGCTGGCTGATGTCCTTGCAAGGACACTCTTGGTCATCTTGGATCATTCCTGGGGAGTAGCAGAATGTCCATCCTAGCTCCAAGAAGTATTACTTGCAAAGGCAAATGCAATGTTTCCTAACATTCTCCACACCATCAGTAAAACAAAAAAAACTTTTAGTGTTGTTTAAATAGCTCGATAAATGCATATCTTTTTACTTATGTCTCAGACTTTTTTTTTTTTTCCAGACTCATTTAGCCTCAATTTTGCCTTCCAGACAAAGACTTTTGTAGCCTCTTCCGTCTTCTAAGACTCGGTCACATGTTAAGGAAAGATGAAAACAAAACACTCTTCCAGACAGCTGTTGCACTGGGGTTCTCCAGGGATAAGGTGTGTTAGTGCAGAGGGTAAATGTTTTTGAGTGTTTAGAAACAGTCATGGAGAGTGTCTACAAAGCATCAAGGGTTTCTGTTTCTCATACTGTACCCATGCCATGTAGGTTGGAATTGTGCAGGACATGGTGATGGGACACAGCCAGGAGAGCTAACCCAAAGTGTTCAAACTAATGTTTCTTCATCATCCAGAAACCCCTGCAGCCTACCACCTGACCTACCAAAAGCATGCCGTGCACACCAAATACACCTGTGAAGAGCAGCTGAGAGAGATGGGATTACCTTGAAGAAAAGAAGACTCCAGGAGATATTATTGTGGTCTTCCAATGCATAAAGGGGGCCTACCCACATGTGTAGTGACTAGACTAGACTAGAACAGAGTAGTTTAGTTGGAAGAGACCTTCAAAGATCATCTAGTCCAACTACCTGACCTCTTCAGAGCTAAACAAAAGTTACAGCATGTCAATGAGGGCAATGTCCAAATGCTTCTTGAACATTGACAGGCCTAGAACTACAAGCACGTCGCAAGGAATCCTATTCCAGTGTTTGACCACCCTCATAGTACAGAAATTTTTCCTACTCTCCAGTCTGGACCTCCCCTGGTGCATCTATGTGCCATTCCCACACTTTCTCTGATCAGTTACCACTGAGAAGAGGTCATCATCTCCCTCTCCACTTGCCCTCCTAAGACAGTGGCTGAAAGCAAATGAGGTCACTCCTCAGCCTTCTTTTCTCCAGACTAGACAACCCAAGTTTCTTCAGCCTCTGCATCATAGGACATCCCCTTTTACTAGTATTCCCTGTTTTCCCTTGGTTTCCCAACTGACAAGATTCCTGGTCAGATAACCTCCTGGCAGAGGTTTCATGGCCCCTGTCTGGGCTCTATCCCTGCACCAGCCAGTCCCTTCTGTCCCACACATGGTCCCATGGCCCCACTGTTCAGGCACAGCACAGGGAAGGGTGTGGTCAAGGTGGGCAATGGTCCCCCAGCATGATCCTCGCTGCAGCCCTTGCTTCCCTTTCTCTATAGCTCTCCCCTTCCCCCTGCGCCTGATGCCTGCCTTGCCCTGACCATGTCCCATGGGGGGTTTCACAGACATCCCTGCTCTGGGATCTGAAAGTGTCTGGTCCAGGGAAGAGGTTGGACAGGGTTGGCCATTCCCCCACACAGGCAGGGAGCTGAAGGTGAGGATGGGGGTGGCCTGGCAGCAAACCCCAGCCATAAATCAGAGTGAGCAGCCACTACTAGGAACATCCATTGCTAGAGGCTGGGGATGACGAATGTCCTGGGCCACCTTCCCATGCTAATCATTCCAACAATGACCCAGAGTTACCACCTGCCTCCTGCACTTGCATGTTACTCCTGTCCACGAGCTCTGGCTCTGCACCACAAATGCCCTGCTGTGAGTCCTCACCCAGCATGGCCACACAACTCAGACAATATCTGAGTTTTCCTCTGGCAGAATAGGACCTACCACTCCTGTCCCCTTCCTGTGGTCCCTGTGGTGCCCAAAGCTGGTGGTGATGCTCTGCAGAGGGAGGGGCATGGTTTAAAGCCATTCTCTCTTGTCCTGTCATTATTGGCCCAAGCAAAAAGTTTCTCTTTATCTTATTTATAAGACTCCTTTAAGCACTGAGAAGCTGCATTGAGGTCTCCCAGGACCCTTCTTTTCTTCAGACTGAACAGCCCCAGCTCTCTCAGCCTTTCTTCACAGGAGATGTGCTCCAGTCCTCTGATCAGCTATGTGGACCTCCTCTGGACCCACTCTAAAAGATCAACTTCCTTCTTGTGTTGGGGACCCCACACTCCAAATGAGGCCTCACAAGGGCAGAGCAGAGGGGCACAATCACCTCCCTCATCCTGCTGGACACTCCTCTGTTGATGAAGCCCGGGGTACAGTTGACTTCTGGGCTGCAAGTATGCACTGCTGGCTCATGTCAAACTTTTTGTCCACCAGAATCCACAAGTCCTTCTCAGCAGGGTTGCTCTCAAGGAGTTCTTCTCCCAGTCTGTCCTCATGTCTGGGATTGCCTAGGCCCAGGAGCAATGCCTTGCACTTGGACTTGTTGAACCTCTTTAGATTCACATGGGCCCACTTCTCAAGCTTGCTCAGGTCCAAACAGATATCATCCCTTCCCTTTGTTGTATCAACAGCACCACTCAGCTTGGTGTCATTGGCAAAGTTGCTGAGGGTGCACTTGATCCCACTGTCTATGTCTTCTGATAATAATATGAAACAGTGCTGGTCCCAAGACAGGCCCTGAAGGACACTACTCCTCACTGGCCAACACCTGGACATAGAGCCATGGATAGCAATTTCATAGAGCAATGACCTCCACCTGATAATAAAACAATTTCTTCATCCTGTTCCTGACCACAACATTGGAAGAAGAACCCAACATCCAGGCACCAGCACTGAGGAAACATCCTTTTATTAAAGAGATGTGACAGGGGTAGCCAGCTATACCTTAACAATAGATACAGATACAAGGGCCTCTGTGTAAAAAAGAGTGAGTTTAGGCCACTCTGCAGAAGTGGAGTGAAGGAAGAAAAACAAGATTATCGCAGAAAAAAAGCACAAAGACCAGAGATGAACTGGAAATCCCTTGTGAAGAGACATGTGTATCTTACTGCTGCTGAAGGACTACTGATTGACTCAGCTTCTTCAGTGCATCCTTGAGCTCCTGGTTCCTCATGCTGTAGATGATGGGGTTCACTGCTGGAGGCACCACTGAGTACAGCACTGTCACCACCAGGTTCAGGGATGGGGAGGAGATGGAAGGGGGCTTCAGGTAGGCAAATAAGGCAGTGCTGGAAAAGATGGAGACCACAGCCAGGTGAGGGAAGCACGTGGAAAAAGCTTTGTGCTGTCCCTGCTTTGATGGTATCCTCAGCACTGATCTGATGATCTGTGCATAGGAGAATAGAATAAAAATAAAACACCCTGAAGCTAAAGAGAGACTAATAAGAACAAGCCCAACTTCTCTGAGGTAGACATCTGAGCAGGAGAGCTTGAGGATCTGGGGAATTTCACAGAAGAACTGGTCCAGGGCATTGCCTTGGCAGAGGGGGAGGGAAAAGGTATTGGCAGTGTGCACCATGGCATTGAGAAAGCCACTGCCCCAGGCAGCTGCTGCCATCTGGACACAAGTTCTGCTGTCCATTATTGTCCCGTAGTGCAAGGGTTTGCAAATGGCAACATAGCGGTCATAGGCCATGAGGGTGAGAAGACAATACTCTCCTCCAATCATGAACAGAAAGAAAAAGACCTGGGCAACACATCCTGAGTAGGAGATGTTCCTGGTGTGCCACAGGGAGTTGGCCGTGGCTTTGGGAACAGTGGTGGTAATAGTGCCCAGGTCCAGGAGGGCGAGGTTGAGGAGGAAGAAGTACATGGGGGTGTGGAGGCGGTGGTCGCAGGCTACAGCTGTGAGGATGAGGCCGTTGCCCAGGAGGGCAGCCAGGTAGATGCCCAGGAAGAGCGTGAAGTGCAGGAGCTGCAGCTTGCGTGTGTCTGCGAATGGCAGGAGGAGGAACTCTGTTGGCAAGGTGCTGTTGGACATTAAATGCCTCAGGGCATGGTTGCCTGTCCATGGAGGAAAATGCACAGTCAGGACAGGGTCTCTGAGAAAAATCCACTCTGTTTCTCATGGAGCTCCTGCACACTAACTTCCATTCTTCCCTTCTCAGGATAGCATATTTCCCTCTCCCCAGCTGGCACTCTGCCCTGTGCTGGGTGAGTGCACTGTAAGGAACACAATTCTCTGCCTAAGTGCCAGCATCTGCTCCTCTGCTGACCCCCAGCCTGCTGCTCCAAATTACTTACATATCCAAGACCTCCAGCGCAAGAGAACAAACAATACAGAGAGGTGGACGGAAAAGCAGCATGACCGAGAGAGGGGAGGGAGAGATGAGCAAGAAGAAAGGGGTCACCCTGCCCAGCCGTGCCTGCTGCCTGCCAGGCAGCACCAGGGCAGAGCAGTGGCTCACAGCCGTTTGCCAGGCAGTGGGACAGGGCACATGGCAGGAGAGGCAGACCTTCTTTATTCTGGGGCTCTGTCCATCCAACAGGCAGCTCCTGCCCAGGATCCCCCAGCCCAGAGGGCAGAGGCTCTGCTTGGTGGGAGAGGAGAGCTGAGGGGGGTTGCTCAGGGACGGAAGCTGCACTGCAGGGGATAGCAGGGAGGTGCCCATGTATCCACTGCAGCAGGGTTTCCTTTTTCAATTCCCTTTCTCCCTGCCCATTTCTGCTGCCTGCAGGAGTCCCTTCCAGGAGCTCTATTTCTGTCCCCATGTCTGTGCCCTGCCAGTGCTCACACACCCCATCCCATCTGCTGTCTGCTCAGCTCTGTCCTGAACCCTCTCAGTGTGTGCAGGTGCTGAAGAGCAGGTCACACAAGCCCTGATGAAACTGGGAAGGTGATGCTGCTGCATTATGAAGGACTGAGGGTGCTGAAGGCACTTTTTGAGGTTCCTCATAAAAATTGAGGTGACAGAAACCCAAAATCTTCTGTACTCTGTACAGCTCTGTTTCCATTCCTATCCTGATGAACCAAAGAAACTTGAAAGCACAGCATCAGGAAAGCCCAGACCACATCAGGCAACCACAGACTTGATCTTCTGTCTGAAGAGTCCCCTCTGATATGGTCTGGGAGTGCTGTGGTGCTGTGAGCATCCTGCCCCAGGCACCAGCAGGACCCTGCCCTGTCCTGCCCTTGTTGGGGGGCTTCTTCCATCCACAGCTTCTTCCTGCAACACCCTGGGCAGCTCCCCAGGCAGGCTGAGTGCAGAGCCTTGCAGGTGGGAGAGGCTCTGCCCCGGCACACAGCCCCTGGGGCACAGCAGAGACCCTGCTCTGCACCACAGCCCTGGGCACCCCTGCCTGCACCCTGGCTGCACAGCCTGTAGCCAGCCTGGTGATTAGGAAGCCTCATGTCCTGTCCTTCTGACAGCTTTGCCAGGTAATCAGTATTCCAGGGAATACCCCTGTCCTCTGTACTAGAGAAGCCAGCAGTGGTAGAGAAGCCTGCATGGGAAGTGGCAGCTATAGAAGAACCCTGTAGGATATTGCATTACCTGCCCTCACACAGACACTTACCATGTTAGAGCTGTGAAGATTTCTCCCACAGTGAGCTCTCAGCACTTTACACTGCCTTTTTTTTTTTTTTTTTTTTTTTTTTTTTTTTTTTTTTTACAGTGCCTCCACACTGCCTTTAACATCTCCCTCCCTTCACTCACTGCCCTTGTCCCCTGCAGGCTGTGCCCCCAGCCCTGCTGCTGTGCAGAGGAGCTGCTCCTGGGCAGAGCTGTCTCTCTGCAGCGCTGCCCAATTGCCAGCAGATCCCCTTGGGCCCCCGAGCCTGGCCCAGCTCAGCAGCACAGCTCCATCCCAAGGCCTCCCTGTCTCTACCCCTTCAGCCTCCCTGGAGGTGTCCCTGGACCTCCAGGGGAATTGACTTTGAAAGTGAAGCAATCCCTGATGTTCCTTCCCTGCACTGGGCAAGGAAACTCATTTCCAGCACTGTCATTATGCATTGTCAGATGAACAATATGGGGAATGACACAGAATCACCTTTCCATGTCCTCTTTTCAGGCAGGTCACCCATGCAAGGACCCGGAGAGATTTTTCTTCCCCCTGGTGAAGAAAAGGCTTCAGGTTAGTCAACCAAAACGTCTCATTCTTTGCAGTCCAGAAGCTAGAAGGGGGTTCAGCTCCCTCCCATGCCTTACACAAGCCCACAGGATTCCTCTTGCCTGGGCACAAACCAGGCATCTGCATGTAATCTGCTTGCCTCAGCTCTCAGCACATTGAATGGAGACAGAGGTCAGGAGGGAGATGATTTGCCAGAGGTGGCCAGAGAGAGATGCAGGTATCTGCATGCTCTGATGGATTAATTGTGGGAGCCAGGGAGCATCCGGGGGCATCGTTTTTAAGTGCAGGGAGATTTTCTTGGGCTAACAGAAATGAGAGCAGATGCCTGCATTTAGCACCACTGAATCTTTTTAGTGTCCATTAGTATTCTCTGAGCAACCTACACTGCTTTCACTTGACGATATGGAGTCATGTAGCACAGGGAGAGCTAACTTTCTGTGTTTACAATATCTCCATTACTGACCATAATGGCAGTGGCCTCATGGACATCTCCACATTGCCTAAGCCAATTCAGGGAAGGTTCTTGATTTTGTTATGGCCAAATACTGGGCCTGTAGCGCTACATCAGATGTCAAGACTCTCACACAAAACTACCTGTGGCTGGAAGGGCCAGCACTGGTCCTGGGAAGGAAAGCCATCCCCATCCAGAGCAAATGCATGGCAGAAAACCAAGGCAGCAATTGCAGACAGTTTGCTCCCTCCCTCCACTTTTACTCAGCCTCTTGATGTCATTGAACAAGCCAACAGTTTTCACAGAGTGCCTGTCAGCAGAACCTGCTTCTTCCTGGAGATCAGCTTCACCTCTGCCAGAGGCCTTCAGGGGCTGCAGAGACACACCTGGCAGCAAATCTTTTTCCTGCCAGGCCTGCCCAGGGCATCCCAGCTCTGATTCTCTCTGTCCTTAGGGACAGCAGGGTTTGCTCTCTCAGTTGGCATCCCATTTCAACTGTACGTTCCCAACTGCTGTCCACTCCAGCATGTCTCTGGCTTCAAACAAAGCCTTTGCACACGTGGAGTTTTGGAAATTTGTTACCAGGCTTCCCAAAGGAAAAGAAACATCTTGGCCTGATGTCAGAGCTGAGGGATATAAAGAAGGAGATAGAGGACTTAGGTGCCAGACCTCAAAGCAGCATTTCTGGGCCTGTTCAGGAGGCTGTTAGTGGAGGTCTCATTGTCAGTAGCCCTGAAAGTCAGAAAAGCTCCTTGCCATAAAACATTCCTCTGCAAAAGTTGCATGCAGATTTCAAGAAGGTCCACGAGATGAGCTGGGGAGCTAAAGCTTGCTTAGTATTACTTTGGTTGAGGAGTCTTTTCCAGAGCATGTCCTCTTGGATCTCATTGCTTGGAGTATTGATAAGAAGGTGACTGAAAGTGAGGGTAGACCATACCTGACCACCTGCAATATTTCCTAGGATGAAATGACCACATCTCTGTGTGAAAGGAGAGAAGTGGGTCTCATTTACCTGGATTCAACACAATCCCCCACAGTATTCCCTTTTCCAATAATAACATTGTTGGAGGGATAGGCTAATTGAAACTCCATGATGTAAAACAAGGACAAAACCCCATTTCTGCTTCTGAGGTGGACAACTGCCCTACCATGACATAGGATAGGGGCTGTATAGGTTTATAGAATAGAATTTAAAAGGATCAAAACGAATTGAACCAAATGGAACAGAATAGTTCAGTCTGAAGGGACCTTCAAAGCGTATCCGGTACAAGTGACCAATCTATCACACAGAAGTTCTAGAATTTTCTAGAATTTCTAGGTTGGAAGAGAGCTCAAGATCATCGAGTCCAACCTCTGACCTAACGCTAACAGTCCCCACTAAACCATATCCCTAAGCTCTACATCTAAACGTCTTTTAAAGACTTCCAGGGATGGTGACTCCACCACTTCCCTGGGCAGCCTGTTCCAATGTCTAACAACCCTTTCAGTAAAGAAGTTCTTCCTAACATCCAACCTAAAACTCCCCTGGCACAACTTAAGCCCATTCCCCTTTGACTTGTAACCAGGCATGCGGGAGAATAGACCAACCCCCACCTCGCTACAGCCTCCTTTAAGGTATCTGTAAAGAGCAATAAGGTCGCCCCTGAGCCTCCTCTGCTCCAGGCTAAACAATCCCAGCTCCCTCAGCTGCTCCTCGTAGGACTTGTTCTCCAGACCCCTCACCAGCTTGGTTGCCCTTCTCTGGACATGCTCGAGTACCTCCATGTCCTTCTTGTAGCGAGGGGCCCAAAACTGAACACAGTACTCGAGTGTTCAGCCTCACCAGAGCCGACTGGGGACAATCACTTCCTTAGTCCTGCTGGCCACACCGCTTCTTATACAAGCCAGGATGCTGTTGGCCTTCTTGGCCACCTGAGCACACTGCTGGCTCATATTCAGCCGACTATCAACCATCACTCCCAGGTCCTTCTCTGCCAGGCTGCTTTTCAACCACTCATCTCCTAGCCTGTAGCTCTGCTTGGGGTTGTTGTGCCGCAGGTGCAGGACCCGGCACTTGGCCTTGTTGAACTTCATCCAGTTGACCTCAGCCTATCAGTCCAGCCTATCCAGACCCTCCTGCAGAGCCTTCCTATCCTCAAGCAGATCGACACACGCACCTAACTTGGTGTCATCTGCAAACTTACTGAGGGTGCACTCAATCCCCTCATTGAGATCATTGATAACGATATTGAAGAGAACTGGCCCTAGTACAGAGCCCTGCAGGACTCCATTAGTGACAAGTTTCTGACTGTTGGAAACTAGTGGAGTCCTCCATTCACCGTGATTTTTTGGGCCCAGCTATCGAGCCAGTTTCTAACACAGTGAAGCATACACCAGTGCAAGCCAAGAGCAGCCAGTTTCTTCAGGAGAATGCTGTGGGAAATAGTGTCAAAAGACTCACTGAAGTCAAGGTATACCAC